GCACCTAGAATAAATTTTCCTGTGAAATTCAAGCATTGGGATTGTGTACTAAACAGAAAAGATGAATGAAAACTACTAATTGAATGGAATGTGTTAAGAGGATTATGAAAACATCCAAGTTATAATTTAACCAAAAGTGTTTTCTCCAGTCGTCCAAAAAATTTTATTTTCATTCATTCACAATGAAAATCGTCTGTAATTATTAAAAAAAATCTGAAGCCTAACTTCTCAAGCTAAATTGTTGTTCAATGACAATTTGAAATAATTTCTCTAAAAATTGGAACATTATTTTTTATCCATTTCTTTTATGCGAAATGCTTTGAATACATTTTACTAATTCAATTATGAAATAGCTCAATACTATTAGTTGAACGCCAAATGCTGAAATTCAATTCAGCTCACACGCAATGTGTGCTTTTTGGTGTGCGAAATTGTGTTGAAATTGATAGGAATTTTGAAAAAGGTTTAAAAATGATTGCTAATGTTTGTCTTGACTGTAATGAGCAAATGATCAAATACCAATGCTTCAATTGTCCGTTTATTGGGATAAATGACAACCAACAGACAAAGTCTTCACCAACACCAAATTCTTGTCAGCATTTGGAGGTCCAATTTACAAGACGATATGAACATAAAAGATGGAATCACTTACTCCTAATCGAACAATTAAATGAGCATTTTATTCATTCAATCAATAATCCAAACTCTATTGATCTAAACAATGATTCATTCACCACATGTTTAAGAATTTGACTTTTTAAATACGCATAAATAACGTACGTGTTGTACAAGCGTATTCTATTCACAAAGAGAGTGGTTGATGGTTAATATTTTCAGATGAAATGGGTTTTGTAATGAACAGAATAAAACCAACTTTCACATTCCGCGACTTCGGGTGAAATGCCTAAACGAATGAATATATTTTGAGACTGTCAAATCCATTGTTAACATCTGCCATAAAAATGAACAGTTATACCATCTCTCGTCCAATCGATGAAAACTCCTACCCTTGACCTATACGAGGAAAATACCAAAGTTGTCAGGTTTTCCCCTTGAACACGGTGATACTCGAAAAGGAAATCCAACTTTTCGCCTGCTGTGTCACCTATGGGGTTTGCTTTGAAAATGAAACTTGTGTTATTCCAAAACATGATTGGCATAATCATTGTAAAATACCGTCACATACTACATTTTTGCCCCTGTTGGAGATATTGTACTCCCCCGCTCGACCAAACGCACAATTCTTGATTGGCTTTTAACAATACGGTCTTAAAGGAAATTAATGTTGGAAAACAATCTTAACATCAAAATAGCCTCTGACATTTTCTATTGACTTATTTATATTCTATCGGCAAATTGCATATGTGGCAAACATATTATTACTTAATTAACTTTATAGAAAAGTGCGCAAATTCGGCTTTGTGTATATAATTATTAATGACGTGATTTCAAAGAGGTTAAAGGTAAACATACGGAATGCACGTAATCCTTGCTCCTGATGGAAAAATTAACTGCTACCGATTTTTTACCTCCAGCAAATCTTGTGAAAGGAAATGATGACTCCAGAATAATTATTGCTGAAATTAATTGAAAATTTGTTTTAAGAATGCAGATAGCAATCAATAGCAACAAAAAATCAAATTTTATTTGTTAATATTAGAAAAAGAAACTTACAATTTGAAAATTTTTTAAAATTACAGCTCGGCACAAAATTGATAACGCATGAATATATGTTCCCTTGAGTGAATAATTGATCAAATTTTGGGCCACCTCTTAGTGTGATGTAAACGTATTCTATATAATCGTTTTAAAGCAGAAATATCAAAGGTGCTCAAAAACATGAATTACCAGTTTTGTCATAACAAGGTTTCCAACTCTCACGATTAGCCACATGACAAGTGTCATTTTTAATTGTTATGCGAAATTCTTTCTCATCCACATAGCCTATAATAAACTGAAGAAATAACGAATTAGTGCTTGTTTAACCAAACTGATACATACGTCCAAACCTCCTCGTGTTAAAATAATCAAAGGATCTGTTTCCTCAATTGGCGTTGTAACGATTCTTGAGCATATCGTTTCCGACTGAGTTAAATCAACTTTCCCAAGGCAAGTGTTTTTGAGCAGAGAAACAACAGCGAAAAGAGCGAATAAGATCATCTTCTTCTGAGTGTGGTTAAGCAATTTCAAATAATTTATATACCTAGTTTTGACAATAAAATTTAATTAGTGTTCGTTGTTAAAATAAGTTTAAGGTCACACAGGGTAGAACAATTAAACATGCAAAGACAACAATTTGAGTAGAATTGTGATAAAAGGGATTACGTGTAAATAACCGCATAAAATTAACACGTATGTGATTTGGGACAGAAATTTAAAGATAGAATAAATTTAAGAAAATGAAATTTTGAAAATCTCTGTTGGTCTGGGAACTGTTTAGTTCAGCATAAAGAAAAGTAGAAAGCAACGTTATACAATTGAAATCTACAAATGGGAGATTTGTGTTTAGCAATTTAGTGAAAAGACTATTAGTACCTTGTGTTGACCTTAAATTGTCCATAAGCAATACAAGAACAGTTCTGTAAAAAAGCGCATGCATGAAAAAGATGGAAACTTGCGCGCAATGACTGCGGAAGTAAATGAACAACCACGTTTATATCCCTGTCCCTGAGTTAGATAAAATTGTTGCTTGAATATTAACATCGTTGTGTACGAATCTTCAATTTCATTGTTGTTTACGAACCATCTGAGTGCAACAGTTTCTTGAATCAATATTTTCCGTGCCTAAACCGTTCAATTAAATGAGTGGATGGGGATTTAAACAATCGATTACTTACTTCAACTTATGCATTTAATCATGTCAACCTGCTTAACATGGCCACCTTCTAGAGACAACAAGCTGTCCTTTGGATACATTTTCTTGAAATCGCATACTTCATCTAGTCTAACACCTTCGTCTTTAAAAGCTGGTTAACAAGCATTTGTTTGGTTGAAATGAGGAATTTTAAGCAATATGAAAGTCGATGAAATTTTGACATTAGTAGTTTCTAAAGCTAATGAATAATTTAAGTTGAATAATTAATGACAGCTAATTGTATATATATATATATATATATATATATATATGTAGTCAAAGTAATTGTGTGTTGGGGTCGAGATGTCATTACATGCTGCAAATTCGTTACACTAATTACCAGTAAAAGTGGCTTCAACGAAAATCAGTATAACGGAAGAGTCCTCGGAATTTCTTGTAGGAAATGGTAAAATTTTTTCCATCTAATATCTTGACTTAATAAAGATAAGTAAATGAAGATTCGTAGGGTGACGGCAATTGATTGGCATAATGTTGTGATAACCTCATGGTAACCTGAATATAGAAGCAAATTAAATTTCCATGGATTGAAACAAATTTGATGGATATTTGCTTTGACGCTTGCAATAGGTCTGACATAGATTACGCTTAAAAAACATCATTGAACGTTGTTCGAAAATAGAAATGATAAATGGGTGTAGCCAGTCCAATTGGCTAAGGTGTGATTAAGAGTAGAAGGGATGATGCTAGAGCTCGAGTGAGGAATTAAAGTGAACTTTGAGGCTGTGAGGTCTGTGATTCGTGATAGAGGTAATATTTGTGCTGTGATGTCGGTTGGGAGTCAATGGAGGTAGTATTGGATGTGGTGGTTGAGGTGAAGATGTCAATGGTTGTGATTGAGTGTGATGGTACTGAGTGAAGTAGGTTGGTGTTTGAAATTGGTGGTGACGGAAAGGATATTTGGGTATGGGCTTACACTTAGAGCTCCATCGACGTCGAAATCAGCAAGAGAAGGTGGAAGTGGAGGAATAGATAGTGCTGAAGTATGTTTATTAAGGGTGAATTGAGAGTTGAGGGAGAAGTGACTGACGGTTGAAAAGCGAAGGTTGAGTGATTTGGTGCGAGAAATGTTCAAATGAAGGAGTTAAGTAGAGTGAAAGTGGAGGGTGGTGGAGCCGAGTAAGCCATGGTAAGTGATCTCTGTGTAGCAAGTGGTGAAGTTAATTGAGATGGAGGATTTATGTGTTAAAATTGTAAGCTTTATGCTCGACGACAGCACATACATAAGAAATGTGGCTGAGATGGCTGAGGAGAGCATGTGGTTGGGGTGGATGGTCGAGGAGTGTGGACCGTTAGTTGCCGATGGAGGAGGCTTGCCACCAGTTTGAAGTCGTGGATGAGTAGTACATGAGCTCTTGGTTGAAAAGCCCACGCGGCAGCATCGGCAGCAAAAATGCTTCTCCTTCGAGTGGACTCACAGTTGAGGTGCCAGGAGGGTGTGTGCTAGTTTATATGTGGGCAAGTGCGTTTCATGGGGTTTTGAGTGATTGAAATGGAAAGAAGTTGCTCTTCAGAGATGGGGTAGATGGATGAAGCGATATATAAGGAGATGAGGTGAAGAGGGTTGGAAAGTGGGCGTGGATATGGATGTGTAGGCGTTGATGGAAGTAGTGAAGGCCGTTTTGGCGATGATGTTATAGAGTGGCAATGCATCTTTCTTTAGAAATAGGGCATGCTGTGTGCTCGGTGAGAATAAGAGTGATGTGGATTTCGGGAATAGTCTTAGGGGAGGATGATGGTAAGGCGTTTGAAGAAAATAGGCGTAAGGGGCAAAATATGTTGATTTGTGATGAAAAGGTTTGTGCATTTGAAGTTTAGATGGAGGTGATTGAGTTTCATGTGGAAATTACTTACTGGAATTTAACTGAATTTTATAATGTGATCTTGGGGTGCGCGATAGACTTACCTCCACGTATCTTCGAACGACAAAAAAAGTCTACCACTCGGCATTTGATTTGATTTCTATTTTTATGATTAGCTTGAAACAAGGCTATAAGAGAAATCGCCCCCCTTAGGGGTAATCACAACGTCTGCAAATCCCCCAGTGGAATGCTGGAGGGATGTCACAGAACAAAAGATCCAAGTCCATAAAATCCTACAAATCTATGATGTTGACATTTTCACAATTATGGAAGCTAAGATTTCGGATGACAAACTGAAATACTACCAATTCCCAGGTTACATCCTGTACAATCTACCTAAATACCGGCAAGTTGCAAGTGGAATTCTAACTGGAGTAAAAGAAGGCCTCACCTCAAACTACCATCTAATCAAGAGTATGGGCTCGACAAAAGACATATGTGAAATAATCAGATTAAATGTTTGGAAATGTCAAAACCACTTCAAGGTATATGCTGTCTATAATTCACCCCAGAATTGTCCCAACTTTGACTTTCTGAACATCTCACACAAAAATGTAGTATTAGAAGACTTCAACGCCCATTCCAACATATGGAGCTACAAAGATATATACATAGCTGGAATAGAAATCGAAGACATGCTAAACAGCAACCCTCTGGAACTTATTTACAGCAATGAGGATCCGGCTACATATTTGCACTACAATGGAACCAGAGCAACTCCTGACTTGCTACTGGCTTCAAGCGACATCAGCGAGCCTACACGCCGCAAAATAATTGACAATCCTGGTTTTGGTCACAAACCATTCATTGCTAGTATTACCATCGGCAGCAAAAGCATGACAAGGGAAGTGCCAACTAAGCTATCATGGAACTTCAAGAGGGCTGACTGGTCTAGATTCACTAACCTTTTAGACAATGAACTTCACACAAGTCCCCTCAACTTCAACCAATATTCTGACAAACTTTGCAATGAAATCACGAATATTATGATTAGATGTGCAAAGAAAACTATTCCCCGAGGCAAGACTAAACACTATCGAGTGTTTTGGTCTAGACACATTGAGGAACTGAAAAGAAAGACGTGCAATCCTGAAGACGACAATCAGTTGTCCTAAGGCAAGCCATATTACAAGCTAAACGGACTTCCTTCGACAAGTTCATCGCAAATATCAACTATCAAAGTGATAGCCAACGCACTTTCAAATTCCTGAGAAACTTCCAAAACAACAGAGAAAGACCCAAGAAAGTACCAATACGCTTAAACAGCAAATTGCTTACCACCGACTCCAAAACAGCTAACTGCTTTGCGAGGTTCTATTCCCACAAGCAAAAGTAAAACCCTTTTGTCACAAATTTTCAAGAGATTTAAAGCTACAAGTAAGACAGTTGGGTGAAATTAAGGAAGACACGACAACACCAAATAATGTACTTACTGAACCATTCAGACCTTGCGAATTTAATGCTGCGATATTACAGCTCAAGTGCATAAGTCTCCTGGCAAAGACGGTATTCATAGGAAATTTCTAATTAGAATGGGTCCAAAAGCCAAGGAAACCATGCTGACGCTTTACAACAAAATCTGGGAGACCAGTCTCGTACCTAACCAATGGAAAGTTGCCATAGTAATACCAGTACTAAAAAAGGGCAAAGACCCTAGCAACTTTGACAACTATCGGCCTATCTCCCTCACAAGCGTGCTGACTAAACTTATGGAAAGAATGGTTAACAGGAGGCTGACCTGGTTCCTTGAGACTAACAATATTCTTAGGAGTGAACAAGCAGGNGAAATGCTCTATCAAAATCCAATCTTTTGCAAACAGGCCTCCCACAGGGAGCTGTCACAAGCTGCACTCTTTTCAATGTCTTCATCAATGACATAGCCGAATTGGTACAGACAGTCACGGACATCAAGTGCTTACTTTATGCAAATGATCTTGTTCTATGGTATTCCGCCTCAAAGAAAAACGCTCAGGAGCGGACGGAAAGTGCCCTAAATTGGGCACTCAAACTACTAGCAAACTAGAACCACAACAATGGAATGGTGATCAACGACGCAAAACTACATTCCAAACTTTTTCTTTGGCCAATCACAGCATAAACCCACTTCTAAGGTACAAGGATACTACCATAGAAAAAACCAATGAGTTCACATATCTCGGAATGACGTTTGACACAAAGCTAACGTGGAAATGTCACATTGCTAAAATAGCAGAACGAGTCTCCAATAGATTGAATGTCCTGAANTTCTTTGGCCAATCACAGCATAAACCCACTTCTAAGGTACAAGGATACTACCATAGAAAAAACCAATGAGTTCACATATCTCGGAATGACGTTTGACACAAAGCTAACGTGGAAATGTCACATTGCTAAAATAGCAGAACGAGTCTCCAATAGATTGAATGTCCTGAAGCGTCTTGCTGATAGCGTATGGGGCTATGCACGCTCAACTCTCAACACCACTTGCAATATGTTTATTCAGCCAATAAAGTTGTGTTGCTGTGAGCCACTCATTACAGCCACAGAGGTGACTCTCAAACCACTCTAGAAGGCACACAACCTTGCATTATGACTAATTACTGGCGAGATAAAATCAAAACCTATTGATGCAATGCTCCTAGTTACAGGAAGCACCACAATATGTTCCCTTATCAAAGATAGATCCCCGATCCTGTATGAGATGCTATTGCGCATTCCCATGGATAAGTTCTTCAGCACCTATTAGAATAGACCAAGACATCTGAAAACGTAATCTGATCTAATACAGAAAGCCATAGAACCGAAGAAAGAATTACAAATCGATGCCAAACCAAAAAGCCTCTCTCTTCCCTTGAACCCATTAGCAGACACTGATGTAGTGTGTTGCAACCAACTGCTTGACTTCTACAGGAAACCAAACACCCCTCCAGAGCAAATGCGATCACTGGCCCTTGAGACAATCAATGTCAGCTATCCTGGAGATCAATGGCTCCAAGTCTTCACTGATGGGTCATGCATAGAAAACCAAGCAAACATTGATGCAGTTGTCTTTTCTGAACTCTTCTCTTTTTATGCAGCAGTGGGACACAATAGATCCGCTTTTGAAGGAGAAATAAAGGCCATTAGGATAGCAGTATGCCGATTATGTTGCCTGGATACGAAATTCACCAATTTTCGGACTCACAGTCAGCAATAAACTCAATTGGAAGCAGATAGCCACACAAAACAGCTGAGATAAAGGAACGTAGAAAACTCTATGAGCTACTGAGAGGGAAAAACAAAACAGTGGTCATACAATGGATTCCTGGTCACTGTGGCATTAAAGGTAATGAGCTTGGTGACACACTTGCTAAGAAGCATACCGATTTTGCAATGCATGGACCGCCTGGTAAGGGATACGATTTTGCAATGCATGGACCGGCCGATGTCTTTCCACGCGATGATGGCCTTGATCAGAAGAGAATTCAAGGCCTCAAGGTGCAACGAAATTAAAGCTCGAAGAAAGGCGAAACAATGGACAGTGGCACTCTCCGAGATACCCGACTGGCCAAGAAGCGAAGCCGTTGCTGAGTTTAGACTACGTACCGGACACGGTTGCTTGGCAAAACACCTTCACAGATTGGGAGTATACACTCAACCCACATGCCCTCTGTGTAACCTACAGGAGGAAATGGAGAAGACCCACCTGATTCGGTGTCCAGCCCTAAAGACAACGACGGAAAGTCAGAGATACTGGGAAGCAAGAAGACGGCTAATGAACTGCTATTAATTAACTGCTATAAATGTACCCCCCCCCCCTCTGGGGGGGAAGCTGAAGTCAAAGTTTAAGGGCTAATGATAAATATCATAAAGCCTGCCATTTGAAAAAAATAAATATTATGATACCAGTGCCAACCTTGTTTAAGCTACATTTACTCTTAAATTGTCATGGAATTTTTTAATTTTTCGTAAAAAACACTAATAGATGCAGAAGTTCAAAATGGTCATTTGCTAAACGACGTAAATATTAAACAATGTTTCATTCACCCCAGTAAGGACAAATGCTATTTTGAAATTAAATTTGACTCGATTTTTCAGCTACTGCAGCACTGAAAATATAGATTTAAGAAAGTAAGAGCATAAATAATTTTTTTAATTATTAAAGTTTCATGAAAATTATAGTCACTTACGGAAACGAGGAAGTTAATAGGAATGACAACAGAGAAAGGCTGAATTTGCTCATTACAAATAAAATATTGCACTTGTCTGAAATATATAATCAAGTTCAAATTTAACCAGACATCAAGGAAAATTCAGCAAAATTATCGAAAAGCGATTTTGCAGTTAAAAACAAATATGCTTTTTTATTTGTTCTTGCATTTTTCACATGGAATTTAAACTTATATATAGAACATTGATCCGTAATTAGTTTAAGGTTTACTTCGTCATATTGCATTTTCAACTTCCAAAGTGTTTTTTTTATATTTACGCAATTGTTGTTGATAATTTTCGACCCTCTCGTTATAATGAAACTTTTTATTGGTACGAACATAACCTATTTCGTAATATGAATATTTTGCATTGAAAGTCATTCGGAAATGCTTAAACAGCGCATGTGCTGCGTGGCACTTGCTGTTTACGGGATTGTCAATTATTACATGTTTAACAGGAACACTTGAAGTATGCGAGAAGAGGACTAACGAATAATCATGATCTGGTCCATTCCTTCGCTTTCATTTGCTATCCTTGTTTGTCCATGCAAAGCACAACATGCCAGCAAAACCGGACTGAAAGCATTAATCAGGTTGTGGAAGGGATGAAGCATTCATTTGTATTAAATCAGTTGTTTGGGCGAGGTAATTTGCAACAGTTGAATGAAGGTATCATGAGTAGTGGACATTGCCGACACACTCACCCACAGAACTTTGACCGGATTCTGATTCATTCCTCTAAGCATTGAGGGACAACTTGTTATATTATATTGTCTATATTTTCTTCTGGGACATTTGTGTGTTTTAGTTAAATTTATATGAAAATTGACGAAAGTTTATTTGAAGTTGGAGCTAATCAATATGCCATCGCAGTAAACAATTGTACGGGCATGTAGTTTATTGCAGCCTTAGTTTTCCGCGTGCTGATAAAATAATCCTTTGCCAATTTATAACAATCAAGATAAGCATTAGTAGTGCCTGGCAGGCCACTTCTCTCACACCCCTCTCGACGACCTCATAACCCGAAGCGCACAACATACACGAGATCGCTTTGTCCCACAGTGGTTGCAATATCCACTTCACGTGTTTGAAATCAAAAGTGCAGTCAAATTATAACATCGGGAGCGGGGAATTCGGACGAAAATAGTGTTCTCTCTAAGGTTTTTAGGGTATTTGTTGCCAGAATGGGATAACCTATTTCAATAGCCATCTAGATATTTTTACAGATGTTATCATGCTGTTTGTTTATTTATTTCCTCCATCGCTAAAAAGATATTCCACGCTTATTCCCGCATGCGGTCATGTGTCAGGTATGGAAAATTTAAGGTCCTAACGTCCTAGATGTGAAGGCTTCGAGGTAATTTGTAAAAGAATGCATTCTCCATTCACCGGCTTGCATGGCGGTAAAGCTATGTTCAAACTTTGGATCATTCTAATCCGAACAGTTCACACATTTACAGATACATTCGTTTAGTTGATCAGTCTTCAGTCCATCTTTCATTGTAATGCAAATGTATTCTAAATAAAAATGTTATGTAAAGTCTCGAAGTTGCTCGTAAAATTTAGCAGCCCGAATTGTTATGCCACGATTGATCATCTGTCAAACGATTTAATTTACTGTAATGGATTGAATTTTTTATTTTTATGGCCAGAAGTATGTGGTTGAGTAGTTCACATATCTTTATATAACCATTTAAGTAAATAAATTAATTTGGTGCCTGTCTAAAAAATAGGGATTAATTTATTAAAAGAGATAAGGTCAGAAAAAAAATCAATTATTAAGATATGGGCAAAAACTTACCGGAAAACTTTTACGTTTAGAAGAAATAAATACAAAACAGCATGGAAATGAACCTGCAAATTAATAGATTGATGACAACCAAATGTACCTTTCCCAAATACATGTTTTGTGTATAATATCGGTCTAATATTTCCATACAAGTTTA